CGAAGCCTTGAAACTATTTGGCTACGCTGGCAGTGGCGAACCGTGGGCAATGTTCTCCGTCGGATCAGCTGTGATGGTCACGACCAATGGAGAAACGGCTCTAACCATCATGTCAAACTATAAAGATTGGAAAAATGACACAACAGGGCCGCTTTTTCTTGAAGCACTCAGAAATTATTGCACGTATAAGATGCCTGATATCCATGGCTGCATCAATGTTCACCTCCCCGTCCTCGGGGAGATTCCAGGGATGGTTAGTTGCCCGACATGTTCCAAAGAAATGGAGATGTATTACACGTATCGCTGCTGTGCTGAGTAATTAGCAAACTATGTTTGAGCAGCAGATCGATAAGATGCTACTCTGATAAATAAACATCACTTTTGGTTTTTACCAGACTGATGGGATGATCATGAAGAAGTACAAGGTTGTCTTATATGTTGCTTTCTTATTATTATGTTACGAATAATGTTTAGGACTCCTATATCAATTAGCTTTGGCTAGTGAAGAGTTCAAGATCAGTGTTCATCGACTATTTTAATTCCTTTGTTTTAGTCTAATATCTATTTCAATTTTAATAAATTTAAATTCTGCTCTCTTGATTTATAGAGATAAAATTTTACCATTAATTTCAACTGCTTGGCCTTTAATTTATTGATAATGTAACATGTCAACCTGAATTATTTTTTACCACATGGAACACAAATAGCACACAAAATCTTTATTTTGAATAAATGATATAAAACATTATTCTTTAGAATATAAAAATTATTATTTTTAATTAAAATAAAATATTATTTTTTAAACTAATATGTGCCACGTGAAGAAAAAAATTAACCTATCTCATTATGTCAATTTATCACCAAAATGCCATGCCATCCAAATTGATGACAATTTTAATACTTTCATTGTTATCAACTTTGAGAAGGTTACTTTTAACAAAAGCGTAAGTACTAAATTCATTAAAATTGAAGTAAAAGGATTAAAAATATCAAATTAAAGTAATAGAGAGGGATTAAATTCAAATTTTGGCATATGCTTTAATTTAATTTATCCCATAATATATATATATATATGCACATGCCTTTATATGTTTATAATTTAGTTGTTAATTAAATCACTAAATAGAAAAACAAAAAATTGTTCTTCTCACGAAAAAATAATTTTATTTGTTATTGCTCCCACACTTATCTACAAAATATGAGCTTCAAATCATATATTGTTCAATATGTTATCTCACTAGAGGTGTTTATGAGTGAGATGGGACGAATCTTGAAGCCAACATTTTTTAAATAAGCCTTGGTTCAACCATAATTTCCCCTTCTCTATTTTTTTTAAAGTATTTAAAAATTATTTATTATAGTACTATTTAATTTTGTAAAAAGTAAAAATTAAATAAATTTATTTATTAATATAAAAATACTATCAATTCTAGTTGGGCCGGACTTCAAATGTTATAATGGTGGTGGATGGAGATAAAACTAAAATAAGGAATAAACAAGTCCAAAATATCCATAGAAAAAGAAAAGGGCAGCAAACCAAACAACCTTAAAAAAGCCCAAATTACTAGAGCCTACTTGAAATACCTTAGAAGCCCAGCTTTGGCCCAACAAAAAGTAGCCCACTTAAAAGACTTTAACATCAGCTAGCTAACCTCCCTAACTCAATTCGTTGTTTTTTTTTTATATATAAATTTGGAAAAACTGTAATCTTAAAAGGTTATTGTATTATATCTGTTTCTTAAAATAAATCTTTCTTCTTTTATTAGATTTTTAATTTGACCAAAATCAATTTTAAATCTTAATAGATTTAATATCAATATATATTTTTTATTTATATAACACATAATGTGATTTGATGATATAATCACATATGACATCTGCTCTTAATTATTTTCTCCCACATTCCTCAAAACTACGTATAACTTTGAGAAGGTTATATAAACCTTCTCAGTTTCTTCTCGCTCTTCCCATCTCTACGTTCTTATTTTTCTTACCATTCCCTCTACCTTTTAATCTATTTAGCTTTTCCAAAAATTCCTCTCTTTTTTTTAAAAAAAAACCCTAGACCTAGTTGTCAAGAGTGGACTTTTGCCACCACCTATTCCTTTGTCCTCTGTGTCTCTCTTCTCTCTACACGTTCATTTATTGATTCGCACTAAATCTCCAAACCAAAGCTTAAATCTAAATGTTTTAGGCTTTGGGTTTTTCTAAGATTTGAAGAACAAAAAAAAATTCAAAAAAATTAGTTCAATTAATAAAAGGGAAGAAAGAGATGAATAAATTTATTTTTTTTAATTTCAATGTTGACGGATGATTGATAATAACAACAAACTATTGATAATTCGTGGTCAATAAATTTAAATTATGATTTTGCCATGTGGTCACGTCAATTAAACAAATTATACTTTATGTAATAAAAAAAGTACAATTTGCTGAGATTTAATATCACGCTCAAATATAAAAATAATTAATTAATTAAAATAATATAATGCAGTAGAATAATAAATTAATATTTAATCAGAAAAATAGCTAAATCTTATAATATCAATGTTCGTATTTTTTATGTAACATTCAAATTAATTATAAATATTTATAAGTTTAATAGTTACATAAGCCAATTAAATCAAAATCTTTTCTTCTTCACTTTTAGGATTTGTCAAATCTTCTACCAACAAAGTGTTTGGCCTCCAACAGTAATCCACACAACAATTGAATAAAACCTTTTCCAAAATAAAATTTTACTTATGTTAGTAAGTTTTGTTTTCAAAACAAAACGAACAAAAGTTCTTACCGAATCTTATTTTTATCAGATAAAGAAAACTATTTTTCTTTTTTTTATCTTATGAAACAGCTGAGAATTGATTGGAGGCTTAGAGTTTTAGTTTACTAATATAATATATTTATATAACTAAATTAAGTTATAATCCTAAATACAATAGTTGTATTTTAATTTAATTAAATCTCTATGAGCTTAATTAATTTTTCACTTTATTTTGATCTTTTTCAATTAAGTCCAGCTTAATTAATTATCTTTATTTAATTTCAATCATGTCACTTAATGTGTGTAGCCCATTATGTTGACAATAAATATAAATCCTAATCAAATATCAATTTGGTAATTAATTAATACTTATAGATCATGAGCGGCATCTAGCAATACATCACGACCACTCAAATGTTAGAGAATTAAGTAAAGAATTTAATAAAACCCTTTAGTGATAAGCCTCTCAGTGCAATACGGTCCTTTCATCAAATTTATCGAATGTGTCATTAAGCATAGCTCGGTGTCTACTTATGACATTTCATATTAGTTCTCATAATTTATGACTAATCTTATAAATTTAGAAAACTAATTTTCCTTAAATTCATCATGCTTTGGTCAAAGACTTTATACAAATTAATCAAGAATTGAGAATAAGTGAGATACATCCCTTATATCACTTGGGATGATGAATCCTCTTTTAACCACTTATTTACCTTCGCATGTTTTATGACATACCCAAAAACACCATATTTAAGCATCTAGTTGCTTCCAAACCCGTAAAAGTGAAATCAAAGTATGTCATTTCCCATACTAGATGACTTAGTGTCTTCAATCTTAAAAGTAGTTGCACGACTATCTCATGAGAATATTTTTCACAGACACTTGAGTGAAATATAAAATGGAGTTCTCATAACGGGTCATGTTCAATGAACTTATTTTTAACAAACACCTATATGTTATCCTCAAGTATTTCATATACTTCAATTTATGAGATTAATTGCTTACTTTCTAAGTAAAGAGATTTAAAATGTACCAGTCTTTAATCATTGTCAATACCTTGTCTTGACAATACAATGATCAGAGCAATTTTAAGAACATGACTTTGATGCATAGTGATCTTATAATTATAACAACTTTACAATTCTCTTATAAGTCTTTTATATTCTATGAGCTTCATCCAATTAGGGCTTAATAACTTTTTATTATTATACTAACATGAAGAAAAACTTCTATCACATAAAATTATGTAATTAAATATACATTAAATGATAATATATATATATATATATATATATTTCTTGATCAATTCAATTGATTCTAAGGCATATACCAACACAATTAGTATTAAGTCTAATGATAGTTACATTTACATTAAATTAAAAAACTTATTTATTTGAAAATAAAATTTTAAAAATTTATTTGATATATATGAAATTTATTTTGTTGCCTATCCTCTTGTTCAAGCTTAATAATTAAATTCGTTTTCTCATACAAAAAAAATTTGGTTCTGATGATGGTCCCTCCACCAAAATACTTTCAGAAAACCAAATGGAAAGTCTACGAAAAGGGACCACTATGGTAAACAATATGGTGTGTGTTTTTTCCCGTGCCTTGTTCTCATCCCATCTCACAATAATTTCTTTCTTCTTCTCTTCACTACAACTAACACCAACATGCATGACAGATGTATGGCAGACGAAAAAGGGATTATTTGTTGAGACTCCCTCTTTGTAATCCATAATTCTATATCGTTATTCTTCTTTTTGGTATTATATATGGGTTTTGATTGTGCATTAATAAGAGGTACTGCACAGTGCACACTCAAGCCTTGAATTATTTTGGATTGTACATTTTTATTGGCCACAGACAATGGTTGTCGACCAGGAGAGATTAATCCACGTATGCTGATGATTTCTTTTATTGTTTATTTGGAATTAACTTGACAAGAAAGGTTAAAGAAATAAACTTTGTTCCTTGTTCAAGGAAGGAAAACTCTCATTGCCTCCTTTTAGTTTATGACAGCTCATGCTTGATTGTAGCAAAACCCTACATTAGTTTTTTTTTTTTTGCAAGGAAAAAGAGGGATGCAGCCACTGCCATCTCCATCACCACACTGTGATTTGCCACGTGGCGTTGTTGGAAGGAACCTCCAAACGGTTTCATTGTAGAGCAATGCGAGATGTAATAATTAATTACATGAGATGGAGAGGCAAAGTGAAGTAGTAAAATCAGAGGGCAGCAGCAGATGCTTCCTCCTTAGTCCTTAGGACTGATTCACAGCCTCAACAGTGCGAAAAGGTGCTCCTCCATAAACCAAACTCTCTCTCCCCTTATTCTCTTTCTTCAAAAATTCCACGCCAAAAAAACAAAAGATTTCTTGTATTTTAATTCCTTCTACTCCAGCTAAATCCCATTTAAGATGCACTCAATTTAGACAGCACCGCCAAAAAAAGCTGTTCAAAAAGACAATTCTTTGTCATTTATGATTTACACCAAATCAAATTTAAACCAAATACCTTCCTCTTTACAAAAACAAAACACAAATCAATACCCATTTCGCATTCTTATACATTACCATTACAGTCCCCTTTTTCTTTTCTTTTACTGCCTGCTTAGCAAAAACACCAAATACCCACTTCAAGAAACATGAAATCTGCTTATGGGGTCACTCTTTTTCTCTTGTTTCTACTCTTTTCAGCTTATGTCTTCAATTACAATGAAGCTACAAGCATGGCCCAAGTAAGTCAAAAACCTTGCTTTGAATGCCTAGATCCCTTTGCTTTTCATGTCAAAGTTTTCAACTTTTTGGGTATTTCATGGATTTAAAGTTGGTTTCTTGATTGAAGGTAAATGGGTCTTCCGAAATGGTTCCATTGGTGGAAGAAAAGATGGCGAAGATGATGATGTTCAATGAAAGCAGAAGAAAGTTAGGGAGCTTCCAGATATGCGCTGTTTGTACATGCTGTGGTGGAGCTAAAGGTCTTTGCTTGCCATCTCCTTGTTGCTATGCTATCAATTGCAACATTCCAAACAGACCTTTTGGATTCTGTTCTTTCACTCCGAAGACCTGTAATTGCTTTGGATGCCATCTCTAGTTTAAAGCTTTATTATATCTATATTTGATCACTTTCCTTTGTTTTAATTTAGGAGTTAAAAAGAGCTCTTGATTCTGTTGGGAGTGTGAAAGGGGAGGAAGAGAATATCTGTTTTCTTCATTTGTTTGTTTATAAATTTTATAAATTTTATAGGGGAGGTTGCTATTTCCAGGATAGTTTTTTGGCTATCTCCAGTGGGATTTGTCTATAATTTTTGTTTTTCAAGGAAGTAGCGTTGCCTGGAAATAGATATGCTAAGCATTAGAGCACGATATATGGATAATTAAGGAAACATTGTCCCTTGTTTATGAAGCTACTGGGTCTTATGATAAGGTTATTTTTCTTCTGTTAGGATATAAATTAATGTTAGTGCTCAGTTGGGTGGAAGTGTTACTCATGACAAAGATTCAAGATGTCTATTATTTTAATATTGTTTTGTTACCTTTTTTATTTATATGTTTAATGTATTAGTGGGGTGTAATGCAGAATGCAACTTGGAAAAGTGTAAGAGTATCTTATTTTAATGTTAATTTGTTTTTGGACAGTTTTGTTTATCTTAATCCTGTTTTTTACTTGTACTAATGTTTCTGCTGCTTCAATTATGCTTCACACTTGATCTTGCACAGTATCTTAAGTCAGAGTGGTTCAATAAATAAATAGATCTAAGCTGATGTTGCTCAAGGGAAAGTGAATTGCTAGAACTTTGCAGTTGGCTTGTTGTGCCTACCACATTTTGAAGGATTTTGCAATTCCATTTTTAACACTTAGCTTTATGGCTCGGGCATGTTGCCTCTCTTTCCTGCGGTGCCAGATACAAAAACTCTAGGTTGACCTACAATGTCTTGCCATTTTCCGGCAGTTCATGCTTTGATACGGGTGGGCCAATTCTTTGAATAGTGGGGCATCTAGAGAGGGAGGAAGGAAGAGCAAGTGGGAGGTATTATGAGATATGAATTACCTAAAAAAAAAGAGGTTTTGTAGGTAGAAATGCCCTAAATAGCTGAGATTTAAATGTTGGTGACTTTGGTGGATGGGATAGATGTGATGATATTAATGCATGTAGGTGTAGCCAACAGAAATATTAGGGTGGGTGGAGGTTGGGTAGAGGCAATTAAGCCTAGCTACAATTGTAAGGTGGTGCTGTTAATATTTCTAGAGCTATTTATGTGTTTCTCTGCCTATTTTATGTCTATTTTGTCGTAGATTATAATGCATCTTTTTTTTTCTTTTCTCTTATAAATCATGAAATCCCCATTAGAAATTCGTAGTTTTTTTGTGAGTAGGACTCTTTTTAAAAAAAATTAAAAAAGGGAATTTTAATGAGGGATGGGAGGATTTAGACATTGCAGCAGCAGCCAGCAGGGCATACAGGCACATTTCTATTTGTTGTCTTGAGAAGAGTGTGTTGGGAATCTCATTGACCTTTTGTATGAAGGCAATATGCAACAACCCATGTGCTGCTAAAACATCAAATAACAATCAAATGGGTTGGCAATTCTAGCACGACCTTATAAAATACTTCTCATATAAATTTTTGGTTGAGAACTTGTGACCATGTTCAATGAGATTTGATTGCAACTTTATAAGCTTTTTGCTTGCTCTGTTTGGTTATATCTTATCCTCTTCTATTTTAAATGCAAATCATAGCTTTATTTTTCTTTTTTTGACAAAATGATTTATTGATGTAGTGAGAACAGCTTGCATATACAGGTTTGTGTTCATTTAGGTCACATGTGATGACTGATTAGTTGCAACTTCTATGGGATCCACCAATACCATAATATGATTCAACAAATGTAGCTGCAAAAAGACCCAACAGCAGTAAGTCATATTAAAAATATAAAAAATGACCAACTGAGACGACTACCTTTCATTGTGTAAATATTAAGATTGGAGCTATGTGGGATGGGGTGAAGAAAGGAGATATCATTGTGCAACATAAATTAGGCAAAGCTTTAATTTAAGAACATACCCTTTCTCACCTTTTTGTGGAGATTATTGTGGTTGCCGACCATCTACTTTTACAATTGTGGCATTTATATGAAGGGAAAAAGTGCAGGAGTAGCTCCTCCCTCTCCCTCCTAAGTAATTGCTAGCTCTTTTTTCAGTCACTATTGGTGTGCCATTACTGTCTGGGGACTTTTTTCTAACTGGTTTGGTATGGCCCTGGTAAGCGATGGTTCTACTCAGTGGGTTTGATATGATGTGATTTTCATGTTGGTTTGACCTGAAAGCAGGGCGTTTCACTGATCATACCTAATTGGATCTGCCCACTCCCACAGGTCGAAACCAACCTTGACTCAAAACTTGAAAGGAATTCAAGCTACGGCTTTCTGTCCATCTTAACTCCAACTATTTATTTGCATGTTAAGAATGTGAAAGGAATTGATTGACTTCCACCTAACAGCCTTACAGCCAATTAGATCCAAACAAAGTTGGTCATTTAATTTCCAAATGATTGAATATGATATCTAATTGGTCGTTCAATGGTCACTTCTTCAATATTATTAATTTATTCCAAAACTCTTATTGGTTTATAAAAATTAACAAATAAATTAAAAAACCATTGCTAAAATTGTAAAAATTATATATAAATAAAGGAAATATAAAGTTTGGGGTGTTTCTTTCTCTCAATTTAATATTTTTTGAAAAAAATACAGTAGATGATCAAAGAATTTAATCTACAAATAATTATATGAACAAAATTTTATGTTAGCTTTATACTTTTCTTTGTGTGTGTGGAAAATGTATATATTTCAGTAATATGGTGGATTGAAACAAAAGCAAAACAATAGAATATGTAGAAAAATGAACATAATTGAGTGATAATTGTCCGTTGAAGAACATCATTTGATTAAGCAATTATGGTTTCTTGACTTCCCCATTCCCCATTCCCCCAACATCCTTAATCATTCTCTCTCTCTCTCTCTCTCTCTCTCTCTCTCTCTCTTATGTCAAGTGGACTTTCTGCCTCTTTTCTCAATGATACCAAATCAAAGAAATTTTGAATCCATGGAGCCTGCTGTCACATTCTGACAAGTTTGAACTAGGTTCCTTCTTTGAGTCTAATGTCTGTTGAACTAGCTGCTTTAACATTGGCAAATTGAATCTATAAAAGTGAAAGTATACATTCTCTGTCCATTGAGATCTTTTGGCCAAAGGCAACAGAGTCTTCACATACAGTTGACTTCATAATCAAAAGTATCACCTAGTCTACATACAAGGAAAAAACACTACATATTCTTAGTAAAACCACAAGGTTACATGTCAGTACTCCACTAGATCAGGTTTCATGGTTTTTCCATTACCATCAATCTATCCTAAGATCCATGTATTCGCTACAGATACTGTCAGCATTGAGGATGACAATTTCAAGCTTGTCTCCCTGTTAAACATACATCACAAGATAGAGTCAGTCATAAATGAACTATATTTCTATGAAGCTGCAAAGGCTGAAAAGAGGAACAAGCTAATGCAGAGAGAGAGAGAGAGAGAGAGGGAGAGAGTATTTCTCAACACATGAAACGTAAAATCAGATGCTTTCATTGTATTTCACGTTCTAGGAATGTGAGACCAAAATTGTTAGTATGACTTCAATAAGCTCCCAAGCCAAAGTGCTACAGAAGCTGAGTCTATTAAGAGAAGGCAACTTCTGAAGGCCCAGATTCCAGGAATCCAGAGCAAACCTAAAAGGGTTGACAAAGGAGATCATCTATTATGCATCTCAATACATTGTGCAGACAACATGAAAAGACCAGGAAATCTCTCAAATCACACAAACACAAGCCCAAATCTCTCAAAGTGCAGTAACGGCATCCTGCACAGGCCATGGGTTTGTCAAGCAGGAACGTATGGAGTAGAAAGTTCGGAAGCATATATATCACAAAATTATAAATTATAAAATTAAAAGCAAACCAGGGCAGGCAACAAGAGAGGGCTGCGAGACTTCAGTTGGTTATCCAAAAAGGCATGATAAGTGTAGAACTAGTACCCTGGGTGCCATATCCAACCCTCTCATAGGAACCAACAGCATCATATGTGAACACACAACCCTTTACTAGACGTTTGGATGAAGAATATCATATATAAAGCAAAGCTCAAACCAGTGATGAAAGCTCAAAATAGAATACCTTCGTCAACAATAGCATGAGAAACTTGTTCTTGTTAGTAATAGATTTTTTATTATGAAAGTTGATAAATGTGTGTACATAAAAACTGTTGATAGTGAATGCATAATTATTAGTTTATATATTGATGATATGCTTATTTTTAATACATGCATTGATGTGGTCAATAAAACAAAATATTTTTTAACTTTTAAATTTGATATGAAAGATCTGAGAGAAGTTAATGTTATTTTGGATATTAAAATCATAAAATGTGATAGTGACTTAGTGCTAACTCAAAAGCATTATGTAAAGAGGTTACTTAAAATGTTTGAATATTTTGATATCGCAGCTATGAGTACTCTTTATGATAATAATATTCATTTAAAGAAAAATAGAGATAATTGTATAGCTCAGTCTGAGCATGCATAGATTATTGAAAGTCTAATGCATTTAATAAATTATACTCGACTTGATATAACTTATACTGTGTATAGACTAAGTAGATATACACAAAGCCCCGACCAAGATCATTAGACTGCCTTAAGTAGTGTGATGAAATATTTGAAATTTACCATAAACTATGGTATTTTATATAATGAATTTCTCATTGTATTAGAAGAATACAATGATGCTAACTGAAACTTAGATGCAGATGAGATAAAATCTACAAGGGGTTATGTATTCACCTTTAGTGGGGGTGCTATAATTTGGAAATTAGTCAAAGAAAATAAAATTGCTAAATCTACAATGGAGTTAGAATTTGTAACTTTAGAGTTGGCTAGTAATGAGGTTGAGTAGTTGAGAAACTTTTTAGCAGATATTCCATTGAGAATGAAACCTACACCTTCTATGTCTATGCATTGTGATTGCCAAGTGGCAGTAGCTATTGGAAAAAATAAAAGTTTCAATAGTAAAAATAGATACATTCGTTTAAGACATAATATAATATAACAACTACTTAGAGATGGAATTATATCCATTGATTATGTGAAGTCAAAGCTGAATTTGGCCTATCCTTTGATTAGACCCTTGAGAAAAAAAAGTAATTATTATTATATTGAGGGAAATGAGATTTAAGCTAATTGAGGAAATCAACAAATAATAGCAACCCAACCTATGTGATTGAAAATTCGATGAATTAGGTTTATATGGGTAATAACAAGTTATTTGTTGATAAATTAATATATTATTAAAATTATCGTTCCTCCTATAATGTGTGAATAGCACAAAAGTACAATGCAAGAGAGGTTGAGTTAAACTCTTAATGAATTTCATATCCTTTTATGGGTAATGTATTAAACTGCAGTATACCTCTTGATAGAATCAACCAATATAAGTAAGGAGTGGGGCGATTCCCATGAGAATTGTGACAAATTCTCTAGAGCACTTATGAATAACCAAGCACGCGCATGGCTTACTCAAGCAAAAACACGATGTATAGCAAA